TTTCTCCAAGAAATGTGCAATGCGTTTCTTTGGAGTTAGAATAGCTTTGTAATAATTATTAGTCATGCAGCCCAGCAGCACGATTATTCGAAACTCGATTGCATAATATACATTTGCATCCAACTAGAGTGTCACCCTGGCAGTCCCCTGGGCGACTTTCCAATTTCAACGTCGTATAATAAATAAAAAATGTAAATAAATGTATTTTTACTATCTTTTATATTTGTTGTATATACATATGTGTAGTCAACTTTCAGGAATTGGGCTACGGCCATACAAAGGCTGTCTGGGGAAATACAGAAGTAGGGAAGACGGTCGGCGATGGAGCGGTTTGAACCGGGGACTTATGGGTGACCATTTGGTAACATAACCACTTGTAAGTAGTGGCCAGTTGGCCACCACTGCTGGGTTTTATCCCGGATATCGAATCATTCACTCGCTGTTCATTTTATGAGGATTAATGCCGAAAATCTTCCGTTTTTGGATCTTTCTGCTATTTTCCTGAAAGATTTCATCGAGGGTATGAACTCCTAACCTGAAGTCTGTCACATAGGTCTCGTTAGGTTCCCTGTATGAGGACCTCGGTATAAGGATAATCAATGGTTAAGGAGACTCACTGATATGGCTGGGAGTCATAAACAGTGGTATTCGTGCATCTTCTGAATTTCTTTGCAACGTTAATTCACTGAAATTCTCAATTTTCTCCTATTCAACTTTCAACCTTCCTGTCTTTCTCGTACCATTCATCCAAATAGACAGCTAAAAGACAGCAACCAAACTCGGCGCACGAAACCGCATATTTAATGGTTGTATAAACTGAAACTGAAAACACGATCGGGTTTTCCCAGTGACCGCTGCTCATGAGTTATGCGCATCCCGCGTTCTCTCATTTATTCACTCATGCTTCAGTCCAAGATGTATATTTGCATCAGGAGTGTCGACCCTGAGACGAGGGAATAGTATTTGCGTCATTTTATCAGGCAGCAAACAGTGTGAAATGGGCTATGTGCTCCTTAGCAGAGCTTTCCTAATCATTCACCCACTATTCATTATAACGTAGTTCGAAAATGACGTTCAACTTAATTTGTCATGGTTAGTGGCAGCACAAACAGACCTCCTAAAAATAGTACGTCCGCAATTCTCTGCCTGTCGCCGGTTAGAAATTTCTTATGAAAATATACACATTTTTCAACGGCTTACAGACAAGCGTACCATACACGAAGGTCATTGAAATTAGAAATGTAGGAGAACATTTTAAGAGGCAGAACAATACTTTTTCGCGTTCAATGTACCTTTGTTTTCGGTTAGTCACCAACTGTTATTAGCAAAAGTCCCCTTATTTTGGCTTCCAAGGAGATATTAAAGAAGCGGCAACCGAAACCAATACCACAGCAAACTTCTTCATATTTTGATGCCAAATTATGATCTAACCTGCTCTTCTCTTCCGGGTTTTCCAAATGTGTACAGAAAGGACACGAGAAGGTATATGATGAGCGAGTATGTGCAATTAGTACAATCACACAAATTCTTCGAGGACAGTGTCAAATTAGTTGAAAAAGTCCTGATTGACTAGAGCTCAACAGTCCCGTTGGTTGAGATGCTATTTTTGATTTTATATTCCTATATTATAGCGCATTCTTATAATTCTGCCTTCAATGTAGTTAATATTGTCTTCTGCCGAGAATGGGTCGTTCATCTGATGTGGATGATGAGGAAGCGACAAACTCAGAATTCAATAGAGGTCGGTCTGGTAGTGGAGACTACACGGCAGGAAAGTTTCCGCCAATGGATAAGTAAGCAATGCATTTTTGGAATTCACTTTTTTCCTTTAAGGTACAAATTGGTGTACATAATATTTTTTATTTCCGGTGTGGGAACGCTTCTTCCGTGGAACTTTTTTATCACGGCCATTCCTGTAAGATCGGAAACGTTTTATAATTACTTTCAGTATTTTCAATATAAACTCAGAAACCAGTCCCTTGATACGGAATCATATCTCGATCCAAAAAACATGACAAGGGAACAGCGATTATTTGGCAGCTACCTGGCTGTGTGCTCTATGGTTCCTCTGGCTACCTTCAATATCATCGGTTTGGTCATTATGAAATGGTAAGTCTTTTGTAGTCAGCAGACATATGTTGACAGGATATCATCCTTTGCCCGCTATGCGATTGGGAGCTCATTAGTTTTCCTGATGTTTCTACTTACTACCATTCTTGTGAAGATCAACATCAGTGAGTAGAGGCAAATTGAACTTCATAAATTATTTTTTAGGCGCTGAAGCCTTCCTCGGAGTCACTTTGGTATCTGTAGTCGTGATTAATGGTAATGATTTTCAACCGAGAAGTTAATGTTCTTTGCAGCGGGCTGTGCTTTGTTACAAGGTGGTGTTTTGGGTTTGGCGTCTATGTTACCGCCACAACATATGAAGGGATGCTTGGAAGGCCAGGTAAGCTCAAATGAAGGATTAAAGAAGATGACATTTGTGCAAAAACAACGTTGGTTAGATGCAACTAAGAAACTAATCGAACAATTTATTATTGTATCAATCCCATCTTGTCATCAATATTTTCTCATCACTATGGTTTCTAAGAAATTTAGCGCATAAATTCCAACTGAAGAACTAAAAACGAGCGTAGCCCGAATTTCGGAAGGACTCGTATTTGGAGTTTTAAGTGAAATTCTACAAATCAATGCTGCGTTTATTTGTATACATATAAGTTGAATTTTTATAACAATTATCACGTCATTTATGTGTAGTAACAATTTAGTGATAATAATAACATTCGTAATAATAATAGCTCAGATTGCATTTTACTAATATCAATTTTGTGTTGAAGTATCGCCAAAATAATATATGTAAATAGTGTGCTATATGTTATTGTCTCTAATAAGGTGATAATTGTAACCGATAAGTTCCCATGTTTGCTAACTTATAGGAGCAAATTATGCTATAGTTTTCGCCATTGAATTGAATATTTTTTATTCTAACCTTTTTTTCTCAAAGTAACATAGCATCCTTATTTTCCTCATCTTGTGCAGATGCTCACCGATAATTCAGTACTAGCTTGGTTATTTTTGGGCTTTTTCAGGCTCTTGCTGGAGTTTTGGCCGCCCTCGCCTCACTGGCCACACTTGCCGCATCACCCCACCCGACCACCAGTGCACTGGCCTATTTCATTTTTGCATTGTTCGTTCTGGGTGTATCAGTTGTTCTTACACTCACTCTGAGAAACAACGTAAGTAGCGAATTCAAGTTTTCCCGATGATTGAAGCTTTGTATCGAAATGAACTATTATGTTCACTTCACTTAAGTATATGTTTTAGTTTTTTGAGTTTTGTAGTTAGGAGCTATTGTGTGAGGAGCAAAGAAAGGAGTAATCACAAGATCCTAGTTTTCATTCATTATGGTCCGAAACCGTAGCTCGGGAACTTTGAGAGGCAAAGCGCATATGACCGCAGTACGGTAGGCGTAGCAGTCAGTCGGACGACAGCAGAGCTGCCTATCACCGAAGGTGGGCTGCAGCACCAGAATTTTAATATCAAACCTGGAGATTCAAGACACGCCTGTGACAGTGACTTGAAACTGCTTGACCACCACTGCCCTCCCACTACCACTCAATGGGAATTAAATAGTCGAAACAATCATATTCAAAAAGTGCAGTTGCACTGATTTAACAAGTTGAATACAGTAAATCGTGAAAATAGTGTTTTTAAACTCCGCGTTTAGAGTTGAGTTATCTGAAATACACGCCCTATAGTCGCTGATTTAAAATTATTCAGGATCTTTACAATCACCTTTTTCACTCCTTTATTCATCCTGAATTGCGGCTGTTTAGATTACAGCGTTGATGGGCAAAATCAAGCGTTTTGCAAATTTATATCACTTAAATTCATTAGTCGCATATGACGTGCAGAGAGAAGATGTACACTGTCATGAAGTCTTCCTTGCTGTTCCATCGCAGCAATTTCCAAGTGACTGTTCTTTATTGCGACCAGCGGAGCAGCTAAAGCCTTTGGGTTTCGAGCGAATCTCCGGTTAATGGGTTTAGTATAACTGATCGATGTGAATAAACAGTGCCGTAGGGTACGTCCCAAAAGCAGTACTTTTTCATTCACAAAATTGTCTCCTTTTTATTGAAATAATCCCACAGGGCACATTCCAAACAAAACAACAGAGTGGCGAACAAGCTCGTTTTCAGGGATTCGTATTCATGCCAATACATCTCAGTATATATCGCTACTTGGGAATAAAATTGTCATGGGAAAATAAAAACAGATTACTAAAACCGATTTTATCGT